GGCAAAAATGGAGTCAATTAAGATATAGCTTTTTAGTAAAGATGCATATTAGATAAAGAGGCATGCTTATAAAATTAAAACGGGATGGCAAAAATGGAGGAGCTCTATGGGATAGAATGCAATAGGAAGATAAATGGAAGGATAATTATATAGAACGACTGTGAGATCAACGATGTTAAATGGTAGTGAATGTCCAGTCTATTAGGCTAACACACATAGAATATAAGTGTTGTAGAAAAAGCATATATTAAGATGGATGTACGGCGAAACAAGATTAGAAATCAATAGTCTGGCAAAAGTTGCAAGTATTACACTTACAGGATAAAACCCTTTTAAATATTTGATGGCACTTGTTGCTAAATATCAATGAATTACATTTACCTATAAAAACGAGAACACTAAGAGGATAAAACGAGAAGAAAATTACTTAGATTGCTTGTCAAGTCTTTACGTAGACCTCTAAAAGCTCAATTCTGTAGCTGTAACATTATGATAATTGAATGTGCTAAAAGGTTATTTGATAGACTTAAAGTCATGGAGAGAAGTTGTCGTAAAAGATTTCTCTCTCAGATTTAATACAGAGTGAGCTAAAGGCGAAACATAAGGGCAATAAATGACCCATAAAGGTAATAACTAGTTGTATGTCAGTGTGCAAATTAGCGCAAATTTATGAAATCTCAATAGTTTTAGAGAACCCCTTAACTAGCCTTAAAAGCATATTATTTAAATATTGGAACAAAATTGCCCAAATAGAGTGGAGCAGACATAGATGATTTGTACTGCCTATCCCAACTAGTTTGACATTATGTTATAGTTGATTGACAAGATTTGACTTGTGAAGAAGTACTCCTATTGTTTTAAGGGTATACCTCTTTAGAGATATTTCTATTTTCCCCTAGTTTCATATGTACCAATTTAATTTTTCAAGATTTGCTGCAGTTTTATCTATCAATAAATCACTGTCTACGAGTTTCCCCCCAAAAACCTTTTAGCTTGTTTGTGTTCAAGGGAATAGAACTTGATTAAGGCTCTTCATTTTTTTAATGTAACAACTTCTTGAATTACTTGGTAAAATTATTACTAGCTTGTATCATTGCTTTAGCTGATTAGAAACTTTATGCAAGGTTCATTGTTGTGGAGGATGGAAGGAAAGAATTACAAGTCAATAGCATCTTATTTGGACTTCCAGATTATAAAATTTTATTGATAAAAAAACTAAGTTGCTGTCTTAGTAGGCTACAAATTGAGAAACTTGACTAGAACCATGATAATAAATACATTATATTGCCCTGCGTGAGAAAGATGAGCATGAAATAAACCTTCCACCATCAACAATGTAAAAATATGGGAGGGCAATTACAACATCTTGAACTTTGCATAAATATATGTTGCCTTACAAAATTATATTTTATATTTCCATCCTTGAAATAAATAGATTTTTTTTAATGTATCAGGTGATAGTTATAATCGTGGAGAAAGAATAGACACCTCTAAGTTTGGGGCTGATCCAGGCTCGGCAACGGAAAGCATTCCCTCAGATGTGGATGTGTCCTTGACCAAGGAAACAGCTCCTGCCCGAGTTTATCGCTGCAAGAAATGCCGGAGAGTTGTGGCGCTTCAGGGTAACGTTGTAGATCATGTTCCAGGAGAGGGTGAAACAGCATTTCAGTGGCATAAAAGGAGAAGTGGCAATCCTTTTAACAAACCTGATGACGAGTGTTCATCTGTCTTTGTTGAGCCTTTAAAATGGATGAGAACAGGTATTGCGCACTAGTTCACCCCTTTATTTCTAGGCCAACATTACCTAGATATGGTTGGCTCAGTTCATGGAGCAAGAATTAAATGCAATATGTAAAATAACCCGAACGGTGTGTCAGAAAAGATGGGATTAATTCAGCTCATACCGTTAATATGTCTTAAGAACCCTCGACTTAGATACTCTTTCCTTTTTTTGGAAAAAATAAATAAATACTATACTCTTTCCTGAGTCATGGAGGACTTAAAACTAGATACATATGAGCACACATTTGATGTGATGGAATCCTGTTCATTAACTTTATGGGCAATATATTTGTAGTTAGGTGAATCTTCTATATGCAACACATTTGTCCATAGGACATAAGGGTAACCACTTGGACCCTGAGTTTCTCATCCTTCATATGTTGCCCCTGTAAATTATTGTACACATGGTTCAACATGAGAACATTAGCTGGTTATTATTTGACAGATTATATTGCTTACAAACAATCCCCTCTTTCTTGGTCATATATTTGTACAATGTTGGATATCTGCATTGCACCTTTTTCTGATCTGCCTCGAAAATGTCGCCTGCAGTTGAAGAAGGTGCCCTGGAGGGCAAGCTTTTATGTGCGCACTGTGAAGCTCGCTTGGGTTACTTCAATTGGTCAGGTATTCAGTGCAGTTGCGGAAGCTGGATTACCCCTGCTTTTCAACTCCATAAAAGCCGAGTGGATATCAGCAGCATGTGAAATTTTACGAAGGAAGAAGGTTGTGGCGTGGAAATACTAATACATTGGGAGCTTATTTTACATTAAAACCAAATTGATCTTGCTTATACAGTTTTGAGAACCTCTACAAAGATAAATACTAGGGAACCAATCCCTCTTACCTGCTCTTTCATATAAATTACTTGGAGGCCTGGGACTGGGCTGCACCTCTTATTATAGGATATACATTCATAAGCTGTATAATCAAAGTATACCGAGTGAATGCACTTTCTTGTCCAATGGAAGATTTATCTGCACAAGTATATAAAGATTGTGTCATTATCTATTTGTTGGAAGCTTTTAGATTCCTAAACTAAAGTTATTACTGTTCCTGCCAAAGTTTTTTAAAGTGCATTATTCAGATTCAGTCAGTTTGGTGAGTATTATTACGAGGAATTATTTCAATTTGCAAAAGAATTCTTATAACGTGCCTTATTACTTATGAACTGCATGCAAATTTATTTCTTTGTTTCCTTTTCCTTTTTTAATATTTCATTTTTTTTTTTATAATACCTACCTAACCGAATAAATATTGTAAGTCTACGCACCTAAAAGGAAGTGTGTCCACACTCTTTGCCACATCAGTATTCCGAGGTGAAAGACTTCAATAACCCTAGGTTTAGTTGTCATGACCTTATTTTCCCTTTCCCTTCCTAGGGGCAGGGAGGGGCAAAAGAGAATGCATTCGAAGTTCTTTCGCTAGAATGTTATACTGTGCGTATAAGGTTAAATGTTTTTTTATGTATATATATATTAGATATTAAATTCTCTTTATTTTTTCACGTGGCCATTTTTTTGTTTTTGAATCTTCTCGATAATAATCCCACTTTTTAAAAATAAATTGCGCATTTTATTCATCTCCAAGAAAGATACATTGAGCTGAGGGAGTATAGATAAACTAGCTAACTCCATCACCATTGTATGACAGCAGATGCCAACTTTTACAAATGAGAAGTAAATACATATGAGAAACATTACACAACTTATGTGCCTGGAAGAAGTAGATCCAACATATTCAAAAAAAGTACTATCATGAAGTCTATCCCTAATGTTAAAGACTGCATGGTCAAGGAGGATCAAAGGTAATGCATGTTCTGTTTAGGCTGTCCAACGGGACGGGACGGGATAGAATTAACGGGACGGGACGAGACAACATTTAGTCGGGACGGTGGCGGAACGGGACGGGACAAACGGGACGAAACAGTAGTTCCATCTCGTCCCACTAACAAACGGGACGAGACGGGACGGAACAGGACGGGATGGGACGGGACGGGTTCGCGGGCCTTAAGTGTCGTTTTAAAAAAAAATTATTTAAGCATTGAGTTTGGAAACCGTTATTCTTTTGACAATTACTAAGTTTTTAAAGTTTGCAACAACTAGTTTTTTGAGTTATTTAATAAACTTAAAAATTAAACGAAAATTAGGAAACTTAGTAGAGAATTATAAAATATTAAAACAAAAGACTTGTAATGAAATATTCTAGTAATTATAAATTTATAATAGAGTTATAATTTATTTAATATAATTTCAAGC